GATTTTCTTTTTTTAGGTGAACATTTATTGACTTCTCAGTCATAAAGGACATTGTTTTTTATTCCTCAAACAAACTAAAGAAACGAAAACTTAACTTTAAAAAACCTACACAACTAAATGTTACTTAAAAAAACAAAAAACCTCACTGATGTATACTCAGAGTCCTGCAGTGATTTCATGCTCTTTATTGCAGCTTGTAAAACAGTGAATGGATTTCCCTCCAAACCTCAGGCTTTTATATACATTATTTACACAATGAGTCCCATCTGATTGGCTGATTCTGCTTCCCTCCTGGAGCCTGATTGGGCTGCTACTGCAGGCCAATCAGTTGTTGCATTCTAGGATCCTACTTGCCTATTGTTCTAGGATCCAAGCTTAGCGCACAACACTCACCCTCTTACTCTCAGAGATCTCTGTCCACAAAAGGTGGCAAGGATGGAGCCATGAGACAGAGACAGATGCAGGCAGAATAAAAAGGCTGGAAAGGATCTGGAATCGATCTGAAGCTTCATCCTGCATTTACAGTGGTACCTCTGGTTGCGAACGGGATCAGTTCCAGTGGCCCGTTCGCAACATGAAAAGCCCGCAACCTGAAGCGCCATATCTGCGCAGGTGCGTGGCGTGATTTGGCGCTTGTGTGCATGCGCAAAGCACGATTTAGCGCTTGTGTGCATGCACGAGCGGCAAAACCTGGAAGTAACCCTTTCCAATACTTCCGGGTCGCCGCGAATGCAACCTGAAAGTACGTAACATGAAGCAACCATAACATGAGGTATGACTGTATCTCTCTTTGCTTCCCTTTGTCGCTTCCCCACCATTGCTTCCCTGTGGGGTTGTGGCAACTGAGGGAGCTGGGCTGTCCCTCTACTCTCTCCTCCTTGCCACAATGCCTGTGTTGTTGTTGTTGTTTTTAAAAAGAAACCATTGGGGTGTGTCTGGGCACACCCAGCGCACCCTGTATGCTGGGTGTGCATAATAGTAAAGACTGAAAGCACTAAACAGAAAGGAGCAAAAATAACATATCATTGGAAACTCTTTGTTCCTGAGAGAGCAAAATATCCAATGAATCATATTCTAAGAAAAATCATAAATAAACAGAGAGGGAAGATGGGGAGGGGGGGCGAGAGAGAGGAGAGAGTATTTGATGAAAAGCCATAAAATGCACCTCTCATAACAATTCAGGGTGATTAATCCATCAGTGGTTCCTAGTCACCAGTTCTGAAGCTGCAGCCTACACTACGGAATAATCAAGCCTACCCTTCAACACGAAGCATCTCAGCGGCTTCTCTGTTAGGAGTTGCAAATGGAATGAGCAGCAATATCAGATTGCCTGCCTGGTTTTCACACAACTCTTTGGGTCCGTACCTGGCTGTCATGATACCCTCTTACACAGGTGTAAATCGGGGGGGGGGGGGTCACACAGCACCCTCTTAGCACTCACAGCTGTAGGCTGCAATGTTCTATCTGCTTTATTTACCAGTTCTATGCTAGTCTATCCTGCTCTCTCTCTCTCTCTCTCTCTCTCTCTCTCTCTCTCTCTCTTTCTCTCTCTCTCTCTTCCAAGAAGATGTTCATTCCTTAATTTAAAGATATGCAGGCAGACCATAATTATCTTATAATAAAGCAAAGCCTCACTGGTGAACTGTGTTCGGCAAATATGTGTTACCCTGTGCACTGAGTAGTGCCTTAGCGTTCATGCGCACATGTTTATGGAGCTTTGTGCTAGACTCAAATCTCCTTCATGTGTTCCTTTCATGAAGGGGCAAAGGACCTAGAAAGGGGCGTCAAGGCCACACCTCTGGGCCTGAACCTGACAGTGTGGAGGGCAGGCTTTTTAACAGCATGACACTCATTCTCTGCTTAAATACAGTCAAACCTCAGTTGTCGAACGTACAGTGGTACCTTGGGTTAAGAACTTAATTCGTTCTGGTGATCCGTTCTTAACCTGAAACTGTTCTTAACCTGAGGTACCACTTTAGCTAATGGGGCTTCCCGCTGCCGCCCTATGATTTCTGTTCTTATCCTGAAGCAAAGTTCTTAACCTGAGGTACTATTTCCGGGTTAGTGGAGTCTGTAACCTGAAGCATCTGTAACCTGAAGTGTCTTTAACCCGAGGTACCACTGTAATCCATTCTGGAAGCCTGTTTGGCTTCTAAAATGCTCGACAACCAAGCTTCCTGCACCCAAGCGGAAGCCGCGTTGGATGTTCAGCTTCCGAAAAACATTAGAAAATCGGAACACTTACTACCGGATTTTTGGCATTTGGGAGCCGAAACATTCCAAAATGGAGGTGTTTCGGAACCGAGGTTTGACTGTACAAGAGGCCTATCAATATTGGCATTCCATGAGCTTTTGAGGATGCACTTGTTTACAAAGGCCTTCTCTTGATCTCGCCACCTAAATCCACAGTTTGAATTGCTGTGTTGTTTTAACAGGACTGTTTTATTTTGCGTTTTAGTTATGGGTCTTTATATTTAAATGTTTGAATTTTCAACACTTTGCCAACTTCTCGGAGGACCATTTTGCCATGAAGTGGCGTATAAAATTAAATGATGCTGAGTGCTCCTCACAGTCTCACCCCTGCTGGCTAGGTATGTTGGAGAATTCCGATGAAAAGAGGAATGGGAATGGGAATAGCAGGGGTTTCCTTATTCGTCCCATGTCTGGAATGGAAATCAATCCACTGAATATCATTGGTATTTTCTGTTGTTACTGCTTTCAGTCCACAAACGATAGGCAATTGATTACACAAACACACATACCTCATTTGCATTGTGTTTCCTTTACATTGGGATGTATGGGGTGGAATAATGTGATTTATGGAACCTACATTATGTAAATTGTATAGGTTACATTATGTAATTATGCAATTATGCTAATTGCACAAGTTATGTAATTTTGCCACAGTGGGCCACAAGTTGAACGTTTTTTTGGGCAGGAAACATCTTTCAGCAGAATGGTAACAGTGTTGCATGGGACAAATACAGGGTAGAATGCAAAAACACGGCCTTCTTATTACGTACATCTCTACTGCCGGCATGGATGTCTGTGTGCATTTTTGAGGGAGTCTCAGATTGTGTGAATGTAACATTATGCCTAGAGGATATTAAAGGCTAAAGACTCCAAATGGGATCCCTTTGATGTTCAAATGCGCCAGGTAGATGCTTTGTGAATGATGATGGGGTAGGATGAGTGGAGAAGAACATAACAGATCAACTCAATCAGCAAAGCTCATGAGTGGAATTAAAAATTGCAGCATTTCTACCCTGAAGTGGTTGGCTTGTTTCTGAGCCGGTACAGATCACAGGTGGTAGTATCATTAAGTGTTGGTCAGAAAAGGGCATTAGTTGTGTCTGAAGCTGAAGCCTGGATAGCATACAAATAAGTGCTTAATCCCATCTTCCATGCCTGGAATTATATAAAAGGAAGAGAGGGCGAGGAGCAGGGAGCAAGGAGCTAGGGGCTTATCATGGACTTGGCTTCAAGCTCAGAGTCAGAGGAGGCTGAGCTGGCCTTCTGAGTACCAGCCATGGGGGGATCTGGACAGAACGTAGGGTCTATACCAAATATATTTTACCATGATTGAATGAGAAAAATATTCCAAAGTGAGTCTCCTTCCCAAAATCATATTCACTGGAAAATCTCACTTTCCTTTTCGAAACTGTCTTATGATGAGGACACCCCAGGTACTTCTTGCAGGATTCTGTCTGGTCCAAGCTTTCATGATTCCAGGAGTGAATAAAATGATGGCTGCATGTGGTATCATTTCATGGGAGCCCTAGAACCTCTTGAACCTGCCCCCTTACCTCTGTCCAGTCTGGAGTCCCTTCCTTCCTGCTTGTTTCCTCCTTGTGACAGATTTTTATAATGTTCTCCACCTTGCCCCATGTTTCAAAACAATAGGAAGGAGTATTCCATTAGATGAAAATAACATGGGGTGTGTTTACTTTTTCCTTGTTGTATGGACTTTGGGGAAATAATTTTTTCTCCATTTGTCTGAGAACAAATTGGTAGTCTTCTGCACTGTGTGTTGGGGGGTAGGGGCCCGACAAAATCATAAAGGAGTTGCTTTCATTTGCTTTCCCCCAAACATCCAAAAGGAGGCAAATACTGTCTCCTCCATCTCGGGAACCTTTGTACAGAGTTGATTGACGATATCTTCGGAGGCATTTGTGGGCATGTTGCTGACCCCTGATCTAGTCCACCCCCTGCAATGCAGGAATATGCAGCTGTCCCATGAAGGGATCGAACCTGCAACCTTGGTCTTATCAGTACCATGCTTGAAGCAACTAAGTTATATATTCAGCACCCCCCCCTCGATTCGCTTGCACAGAGCTTGCATGGTGATTAGACTATGTCCACAAAGACTATGTCCATTCATTACTGAGCACTTTTTTTGATCTGTTTGGAGGACAGTTATATGACAACTGAGAATTCATCCTGAATTTGTTCTGATTTTCATATGGGGTGTTTTGATATCTTCTGATTGTTCATTTTTATTTTTTCTTTATTGAATTTATATACCTCCCTATACCTGCAGGTCCCCAGGTCGGTTCACAGAATAAAATCAGAATATAAAACCACAAAACACACAATCAAAACAAAAACAACCCAACCCATCTCACACTTTTCAATGAATTTCCCCATCACTCTCCAAGCTGCAAAAAAATGATATATATATTTTTAAAGTGGATTTCTTTCACTGGGGAAAGAGAGCATTTTAATCCACTTTAATTGTGCAAGTCTGCTCTTTTGACGTGTGTTTCCATCCCTCCTGGAAAATAGCGACAGTCTGGAGACACCCGCAACCCCCCCCTCACCCCCCCCACACACAGTTGATCACTTTTGAAGATGGCCCTAGAAATAGTTAAAAGCCAAACAGACAGAAATGTTCTGCTTGCAGCCTGGATTTTTCCAATGCTCTGGCCCTTTAAATCCCCCTGTTCTGCCAAGGCTCCACCCCGTTTTCTGACACAGCACAAGCCAAGCATCTTTAAGCTGAGCAATAGCCGTCAAGCTGGCAGGCTGTAAGGATGCTGGGGAGACCAGGACAGTTCTCCACAGATTACTAGGGACATGGACATGGACCAGGCAGCTACGCACGCACATCCTTGCCGAGCAGCCAGCACAAGACGCTCAAGCACTCTCCAGGAGATCTGACTTGCAAGAGGAAAGAAGAAGCCAACCTCTCTCTCTCTCTCTCTCTCTCTCTCTCTCTGCCCACTTGCATGGCTCTCCCTTCAGATGAAGCACTGGGCATCATAAGTCGGACACTAGCATCCCACTGCTGTCAGTCAAGGCAGAACTGGAGAGCTCTGAAGCTTTAAGGAAGAAGAGTGTGCTTCTCTTCTCCTCCCCCCCCCATCCCTTTCTGCCACCGTCTTCCTAGCTTCAGGAAAGGACTCCTTCGCCAGGATGTGAGCAGCATCTGATCTCAGCTACTTATGGGTCCAAAGGCAGCACAGAAGTGGTCTCCTGGATTGCACTGCCCTGCTGAATAGCTCCAAGGGTGGCCGGCCGGCCGGCTGCTGGCAAGAAGCTGACCTAGCAACACCCTATGCCCTAAAAACAGGGGATGAGGTAGGGGAAAGGACACTGACTTCCTCTTCCTCCTCTTCTTCTTCTTCCTCCTCCTGCACCTCTTCCCCAAGATATCTTCAACTGGAGGAGCCATGTCACCTGTGGACTGGAGACCAGGGCCCTTGGACCGGTGGAGACATTCCCTTCTGCTATGCAGATGGAAAGCCTGCACAGACAGAGCTTCTGAACTGAACTGATTAATCTCCCCAGCTGGTTGGCTAGCTGGCCACGGGGAGGGAGCGGGGGCTTTTTCTCTCTATTCATGCGGGGAGTGGGTACAGTTTCCTATTCTTCCTCCCCCTCCTTCTCTCTCTCTCTCTCTCTCTCTCTCTCTCTCTCTCTCCTCCATACTTGAAGGAAACCAGAAGGGCAATAATCACAATGCATCCATGTGCAACTGAAGGGTTAATCTGAGAGACGTGGAAGTGTGTGTGCATGTGTGTCGATACCCTGGATTTGATTTTCTTTTTTTAAAAAAACTGGATATACCTCACCACTCATGTCCAGGCTCAGGCAGCTTTGGGGAAAGGGAAGAGGACCCAAGAATCTGCTTGTGACATCCAAAGCCATGGAAGGAAGAGAGAGGAGGGGTCCGCTTGGAGCAAGAGGGTTCGACAGGCTTTGGAAGCAGCCGCCTTGCTAGTAAGTTGGCTTTTTAAGTCATCATAGTGGGTTAAAAAGCAGCTGTCCTTTTCCTTTCGCAGAGGATTTTTGAAAATATTATTTTTATGACCCAGTCGAGCCCATGCAGGCACTGCTGTCTGAGGGCCTAGAAGGAGATAACCTTTAGGGGAGAAAATATTTTGGGGGGTGGGAGGAATGCTAAAGTTTATATCTGATGGCCAGCAGAAAGGGATGTGCAAGGAATGTGTGAAAATCAGTGTGCGTGCACACACACATACACGAACTATTTATGTTTGAAGTCTTCTCTTGGTGTGGGGGGAGGAGGAATGTGATACCAACATTTTGTGGTCTTGGGGTGCTCCTTGCCCATATGACTAATCTGTCAGGACAAAGCTTGACCTGCTTGGAAGGTGCTGGAGTTTGTGGGGCAAGACAAAGGAGTGGTCCCAGAGCATGGGTGATCCTTCTCAAGGGATCTCTGCTAATTAGATCGCTACCTGGTGCTTCTCCATGATGAAAAGAGGGTGATGGTCTTCAGGGCTCCCATGGATTCTGGTGTTAGCACAGCAAAGCCCTGGTCCAAGCTGGTTATTAAGTGATTTAGAAGATTCCTGGCATTTTCCAGATAAGCATCCTGACTACGCTGATTTTTCCCCTCTCTCTGTCTCTCTCTTTTATCCCTCCATGCAGGAAGTGGTGTGGAATTCTTTGTGCTTCCAGCGTCTCACGGGTGCCCACTTTCTATGCTTAAAACCACGTTTGTCATTTTAAGGAGCTTCCTGAGATTCGTAGCAAAGAGACCTCCCAAGCTTGGCTGAGGCTGGAAGTCCTGCATAGCCCCTCTAAGCCCACCAGCAATAGAGATGGCAGCGGTGCCAAAGATCTCCCGTCCCATGGGGGACCCCTCTGCGGAAGAAGTGTGGGGAAACCCTGAGGCCAAGCAGTGAGGTCCTGCCTCCAGGATCTCCAGAGGATTCTCCAAAGGGACAGTGGTGAACTAACTGGAAGTGATGCTTTCCTTGATGGGACAGCAAACGTGGCACAGACTGGCGTGGTATATTGGCTTCTTTCTGCACTTTATCTAGACCCAGGCACTTCAGAGCTTGCAGAGTGGAGTGCAAATAATAAAGCCTTAACCCCTTGGGTTGGCTGTCCATGGCAATCCCATACGACCAGCCTTGAAGTCAGATGGTCATACCAGATCTTCTATACTCAACTGGGACAGATGGGGGCTTGTCCAATTCATTCTTTGTTTGATCGCCCCGCAACTGCCCTAGCTTTATTGCCCCGATCCTGCTAGGGTGGGGAGATCGCAAAGGTGGCAGGAGGTGAGCGTGTGGCTGGGGCTTTCTGGGGCAGGGTGGGTGGGCGTTAAGATGTGGAGATCTCCCCAGCCAAGAGGGGCTCCGTGGAGGCACAGTCTGGCTGGGCAAAAGCAGAATGCACCACGCAGCTCTGCCCCAGCTTCCCGGCACCCTTTGAAGGATGAACTCCCGGGGCTTGCAGGATAGGCAGCCCACTGACAACGCTACCGACAGCAGTAACACCAGCGAGAGGGAGCGCATCAGGGGGCGCATGAAAATGGTGATCGGGCAGCTTGAAGGCATCCTGCAAGAACTCAAGGAGGTGGCCAAGGAGCTCCGTGAAGTAAGTGTGGTTGACAGATGCAAACGGGAGTGTGTGGAGTATATCTGGAGTCATGGGGGGGAGAGGAAGGAAATGAACTGCAAGGGCCTGGTCAGGCTGCTGTAAACTAGTTGAACACAGACTAGGTGCGGAGCTAGAGAGAGAAAATGTACGTGAATTTTCAGAAGGAGCAGAGAGTTAGTGTATAGGTGAGCCTGCGGGAGAATTCCATGCCTAGCTCTGTTTTTCATCCCTGTTTTCCAAGCCCAGCTCAAGTTCTCTGACATTATATTGGTGTGTCTCACTTTAAAGGTCCCGGTTGTTTCTGTGCATGTCTTTATGCTAGTGGAAACAGTGCACCATAGATGGTGGTGGCAATTTCAAGGTTGTGTAAAGATTCCGTGGGTGCCTATTTTGCTCTCAGTCGTGCTGCAGCATGGGTTATGTAGTCTTTAAATGGTTGCAAAAAGGTAGACTGCTGCTGTGTGTTTGTCCCCACGCCCCCGAACAAGCTGAGGCTGGTGCATTTCTCTCTGGGTTGAATTTGATGCCATGGGACATTGTGAGCTTACGGGAGATGCTGGAGCTTAAAAGTGCTAAAGTAAGCGCAAGAATGCAACTGCTTTGTCAGCAGGCAGGCATTGTAAGAATGCATAATACTAATTGATTAAGTGAGTAAACAATACCTAGTAGAGCCTTTGGAAGTAGGACAAGTTGGGCCATAATAATTTTCAGAGTGGGATTTTCAGAGTTAGGGCAAAATTGTCGTAACAGCTGCAATTTATGACGTGTATGTGCCTTTGGTGATGATCCTCTTATGGAATGAAACAGAGTAATAAGGTCATGCCACATTCTTAGAAATTGTTTTCTGCGCTGCCCAACGCACCCTCGGGCATTATGTACCCTGTTGTGTAACATAACGGTATCTCAATGGGCCTTTGTTATAGTTAACAGCTTGAGCCCAAATTGTAAGGAACAGCTGCGGTTATGTCTGAAAAAAGCACCTTCTGGAGACCCACTTCAGACAGGAGATGGGGCAGCGTAGCTACCCAGACAAAAGTGGCATTTAATGCAGGGTAGGGTACCCGCAGCCCTCCAGATGTGACTGGACTCTTGCTTCTATCCGCCTCAGCCAGCATGGCCAAACAATGGGGACGATGCTAGATCCCTCCAGGGATGGTGCTATATAGCTCAGAAACATCTGGAGGGCCCTAGTTCCCTGCCCCTGATTTGGCAGAAAGGCAGGATACAAAGGGCTCCTCCTTATGACCTGTTTACCGGACATTCATCCTGCTTTGCTTGCAGAAAGCTTACGTGGAGGTTAGACTACGCCTGGTCTTGATGGAACATTTGTTCTGATTTGTTTGCAGGGGAGTTATAGCACAATGAGCATTCATCCTGATTTTGGAAGCATTTTAGGGTTTTATTCGGAGGAGGGTTATACATCTCCCCATTAATACCACCCCACACTTTTCCAAACTGCAGCATGCTTACTTAAAAGGGAAAAGAAGAAGCTTCGCTGCCGTAGGGTAAGAAAGTACTTTAATTGTACATTTCTGGTATGCTGTGGAATCCCTCCCACAAATTTAGCGGATAAATAAAAATTGCCAGCAGGGCCAGTTTCAGGTTTGGGGGAACCCTCAAACAATACTTGATTGTTTTGGGGGGTGTTTTTGTTTTTAATAAAGTGCTTTTAGATCATTGATAAAAGGTACAATGGAGATGTTTTTAATGTGGGCTAACCTTGTCACCATTACGTTCTTTCCTCTCCCTCTGGGCCCAATTCACGTCAGTGCCAGTGGTGGCTGGTGCCCGTTGGAACTGATAAGGCGGGAGGGAGCCCAACAGTAGGTGGAGCCAGAGAGCCAATGACAGGCAGAAAAGACTCGTTCTCGTTTTGCCCCCACCCCGGTTCCTTCCTGCTGAGTTCCATAAGAGCAGCACTGAGACTAAGGACGAAGAAGCAGCAACCCCTGGACTGGGTGTAAGAAATCAGGCAAGGAGGGCTGGCTAGACGCAGACTGCCACTGATGGGGCAGCACTCCCTTCGCCCTAACAGGTCAGCCTCCACTGGGGACTGGACTAGGATGTTACTATTCCTTCTTCTTGCATCTCTCCAATGGGGCAGGTGAGAGGATGGTGACAGCAAAGGGGAATAGGAGCCAGAAGGCTCTACGAATGGGCAGTGGGGCTCCTATCAAGATGTGGGCCTTAGAAGGTTCCCATACATGCTGACCCCTAATGCCTGCCCCCGGCAAATCATTCAGCTGAATATGAAATAGCTTTTGCTCCCAAGAATGGTTTGCTTGCTGACTGTCCATTGCAACAGGAAGGGCTTAAGAGTTTAATTTGGGTTTCAATTTGGGCTGACCACAGGTCAGGTTTGTAGAACTCAGACCCATTTACAGAACCAGGGCACAAGCTTGGAAGTCACATTGTAGAGGGTGTCTCTGAGGTTGTACGGAGTGCCTTTCCCCTTCATCACTTTTGTAACCACATCCAATATCCACACAGCAAGAATGAAAGAAAAAAGTATGGTTCACAGTCAGTTCTGATCGTTTTGTTTGAGAACATAACTTGAGATGGAGTTTTGAAAGGTGTTCATTGCCGAAGAGCTGGCCGCTTGGTGGCCTTTGGGACTGTATTTTGCCAATTGTGCTGGATCTTTTGGTTCTCTTGGTTTCTCAATTTTTCCAAACTTCAGTTCTCTAGATTTGCAGCAGTCTACCTTTTGGTTTTAATCCTTGTGAAACTTCATCAGCATTTTAGTGTGAATTTCTGTTAATCGACGCATTTTAATATGCAGTTTTGACTAAAGTAATTTGGAAACAATTTCCCCTCATTGCCAGCATTTTTGTATGATCTATTCATTTTCACACACACTTTCCCCCAAAATATGCATCTTTGTAAGCATTATTTGGTTGGAGGAATGCATTGCAAAATTCTGATAAGTGCAAAATTCAAATGAGAGCTGTGTTTCAGTTCACAGATTGCTTTGGGAACTGCAAATTTGATAGATTCAAATCTACATGCACAGTGAATCAAATTTCTCCTCCATCCCTACTTGAGAATATTATCTCCTCTATAGGTATCTAAAGGTTAGATCCATCATTCATCCTCTGCATTTTGTTATCTAAAAATCACTTTCTTCCTTGTAGGAGAAGCCATAAAAATGGTGTAATCACAGATGAGTCCAATACATACATATGTGATTTCCATGCATGATAAACTTCTTAAAGCTTTCCCCCCTTCTTCTTCCTGCATGGAAACTGCCTTCTACTAGATCAGATTATTTGTCCATTCAGCCTAGTATTATCTTCTCCAGGTTTCTGAGATCTCAGTAAGAAATTCCTCTCATTGCCTGCTACCTGACCCTTTTAACCCAAGGGCCTGTGGACCTCCAGGTGTTGTAGGACTGCAACTTCCATCATACCTGATGATGGGTCGTACCGGCAGAGGCAGGTGAAGGTTCAGAAGCAGCAACATCTAGAGGGACCCACAGGCTTCCTGTTTTAACCAGCTGATCTGGGACTTGGTGCATGGAAAAGATATTCTTCCCTGATGAACTACAGTCCCTGCACTCACGTGCTTCCTCTGCAGGGAAGATGTTGAAAGGAAAAGGACACACAGTTTGGAGAGGATGGCTTTGAAAAATGTATTGAATCAAACACTTTGCAACGATTGCATCAAGTGGTATGACTCCAAGCACATTATGGTCTTTCATATTCCTCTCCGCTCCCAACTCCTTCCTTTCCCCATCGTTTCACTGCATAGCTCTCCTTTACTGAATTGTGACCCAGTTCAACAGCATCCAGTTCTAGCATCTGCCTCCAGATCTGGCTATACTGTGTGATGCATTTCTTCCTTGGAAACATGATCTATACATACAATGCCCAATCACTGGAACCTGGATCCATTCATCATTCATTCATTCATTCATTCATTACATTTATATACCACCCTATACACAGAGATCTCAGGATGGTTCTCAGAACAAGATCAACATAAAAACACCACAATATCTATAATCAAAATAAAAACAACAACCCAATAACACCCCCCTAAAGGTGTTGGGTAATACTTCACCACCAACCTCCCCCACCCCCAAAACATAAAGTTGAGACCTTGAAGTTCATTCTTGTAAATCTCTGTGTAGTGTCATATCAATCCGATTTTGGATTACTTCCTTCCAAAACAAAGTAATTACTCAGCATGGTGACATAATATTAGACAAATTAGCCTCTGCCCTCCTACGTCTTCCAGAACTATTCCGCCAAGTTAACCATTTTTCTTCGAATCCGTTAGGAGCCTGATTTACTCATAAGGCCAGCTTCTGTTGGACAGCATTGACATATGACACAACAGTCCTAAATCAAGACCAGTGACTGCTCAGGACCTTTAGCCCAATACAAGAGTTGGCTGCTGGGACAATCAATATTCTCCCCACCATCACCACTCTTCGCACATCTGTCTTTTCTTTTGCAATGCCAACACACACACACACACATGCAAGTTGCAAAGAGTTATCATTCATCAAGATTCATCTGCCTTCTTAGGATCTCTAGAAATTATGGTTCCAAGTGGGAACACGAACACTGAGGCCGCAGGCTGTACGCAAGGGGGCCATTTCAGACATTGCAGCTGCTGTTTCAATAACAGTATCTCCTAGGACCATTATGCTTGGTGCTAGTATAAAGGTAAAGGGACCCCTGAACATTAGATCCAGTCGCGGACGACTCTGGGGTTGCGGCGCTCATCTCACTTTACTGGCCAAGGGAGCCGGCGTACAGCTTCTGGGTCATGTGGCCAACATGACTAAGCCACTTCTGGCGAACCAGAGCAGTGCATGGAAACGCCGTTTACCTTCCTGCTGGAGCAGTACCTATTTATCTACTTGCACTGCTAGGTTGGCAGGAACTGGGACCGAGCAACGGGAGCTCACCCCGTTGCGGGGATTCGAACCGCTGACCTTCTGATTGGCAAGTCCTAGGCTCTGTGGACCCACAGCACCACCCGCGTCC